TTCAAGGTTTTCCCATCTTGAAAACGGTCAGGTAATTTGTTCCCATTGTTATTACAGTAAATAGGGCTTATGTGTGTATACATACATAACAATTTTTAAAAAATGAGTAGTTGAATTTTCCATGAATCGATGAATCCCAAAAAGAAAGTGGGGTCCGGGGTTCTTCCCCAGGAAAAGTTTGATTCCTAGAAGGTGGGAAATGAGCTTTCCCGACTTCTGAGGTGTCTTTTAAATTAAAGTCATTAAAAAATACTTCAGAAGTCGGGAAATCTCATTGTCCACCATTTTCCCGGGAAGAACTCGAACCTCCCTTTCTATGGGTTCATTGATTCATTATAATAATTTTCAAGAGGGGAACACCTTGAATATTAAAGAACCTAAAAGTAATTAAGTTCTTCAATATTCAAGGTTTTCCACTCTTGAAACAGTGAGATAATTTTTCCCATTGTTATTACAGTAAATAGGCCTTATGTGTGTATACATACATAAAAAAAACATTGAGTAGGTTGCATACGTAATATATATATATAGGAAAATGAGATGGAAGAAGTAAAATAGATTGCAACAAAGACAATGGTAATTTCCAAAAAAAAAATAAACAGGGCAACGAACTCGACGTTAGTAATTTTCGAACTATAGTTGCAATGGTAATAGTGAGGGTGATATGGAGACTCATAGCCATTGCGTGCTATATGAGGCGATCCTGCGTGGGTCAATTTAGTTCATAGCGAATTTAGTGATGGAAAGCGAAAATTGTTCATGCGTATCACGGTAATTTCGCCTTTAACCTGCCTGCAACTGGTGTAAACGCGTTAGAAAACGCAAGTTGCGTTGATATAATTAAATCAACTATTTCTTTATTGGAGCATGAAAACTATTATATTAAAATTTTATCTAGATCCATAATACGTTTTTTGAGATATTTAGGTCTCGGACGTCAAAAATTAAAATAACTCCCACATTTTACACCCTAAACTGGATTGTCAACAAAACATAATCATTTCTTCCTTGTAGCTTGGTTAAACATTCCTGAAACATCAGATCGATTATCCGTTTTTAAAATATCTGACATGGTGTTTGCTTTTAAATAGCTTTAATTGTTCCTCACATCCACACCCTATACCGGATTGTCAGTAACTTTTACGCGGCGCATCTTTGGTATATGGCCTATGTTGGACAAAGTTTGGTAAAGGTCCAAGCATGGAAAGTCACCGTAATGTCGGACAGAAAAACACCGTGCAAAAATATAGAAAAAAACTATATGCAAGTAAAATAAAAATCAGAACAAAAACACTGGCTTTTCCTGCTACTAGAAAAACCAATAATAATAATAATGATGATGATGATGACGATGACGATGACGACGACGACGACGATGATGATGATAATGTCAAAGACACACTAACAAATCAACGGCATAGGGCCTTGGTTGATAATTCGTTAGTTTTAGAGTTGAGCTTACGGGCCACAGATAATCTCCGCTGAGTTGGATATGTACTTTATCCAATGACCAGTGGTCATAATTTTAGGCGCATAGAGGTCTCTAAAATGTGCGCTCTATAATTCGACCATAAACATTATTATTATTTTAAGAGTCGTTATTCACCTTTGGAGAATGCGCTTTAACAATATCATTGATCACAATAAAAATTAAGGCTAGATTTCGATTCTAAACACATTTTTTTAAATCAAGTAACATAGAAATTAAGTTACTTGTAACGTTTGGTAGCTACTTTCCGCATTGTGCGCAATGTCCTTTATATTTTTATGAGCGTTGTTCTTTGTAAACCAAGTTTTTATTATTATTATTACTATTATTATCATGTAGAATTAGGTGCAAACACTGTTGACGAAATAGAGTGAACAGAAAAGAGAAACAAACCTTGGCTACACAAAAAGTCGGTGTATATAGGCCTATATTTATGGCATGTTATAGCTTGCTCCTTTCAAAAACATAATCCAAGCAGTTTTCCCGTAAAGCTGCTAGTGCACATACCCAGGGGTTGCAATTTTGTTTTTACTATAACACTAAATTTGTTTTTTGTTTTAATTTCTTTTTTCTTTTTTTGACTTTTTTTTTCTCACGGGCCAAGTTAAATTACGTTGCTGGTCAAATTTGGATATAAATTTTATGATTTTATTTTTATCGCGGTGGCTAGGTATACGGTACCGTGTCTTATCTTCCGTTTGCTAAAAGTACGGTAAATTACATCCAATACAATTCCGCCACCGATGTGACGTCATTGTTCATGAAGTTCGCTCGCTGAATGCAGAGGAAGTTGGTGAAACAACATTTAGTACGTTGTTTTGAAATATGAATTAGCCTATTTCTGCACTAACATATCCAATGTCGCCGTCTTACAAAATACATTTAAAACAATATTCAATAAATAACAATGTTTTTTTTTCCTGATAACATTTGACTTAGCTTGATGTGCATGTATCTCCAAGCAGGGAGTCGTTTAAATTAATTAAAAAAAAAGATTAATGTAACTCTATGATACCTGATAATAACATTGATCCACTTTAATATCATCTCCCCCAGTTATTTGTTTGTTTGTTTTGTGAATACCGTTTTCTGAATCTTAAGTATTACACATAATTAGCAATTTTTATTCGGGGTATGAATCTCTCACACCCTTTGTTCTTAAAAAATGCTCCTTCAATTTTAATCCTTTTTACCCACTGGCAGGCCATTAATTTATCCTATACAACAGGTTCTGTTCCTGACCATTTAAAGATAGCAAAAGTTATTCCTGCGTTTAAAAAAAAGGTGACTCGCACTTACTAACTACAGAGCAATCGCCATTCTACCTATCTTTTCAAAAATAACTGAGAAGTTAGTGCATACTCATCTTTATAATTACTAATTGAGAATCATTTACATAATAATCAGTATTATGGGTTTCACAAACATCATACCACCACACATGCTATCTTAGAACTCACGAATTCTGTTACTAAAGCGTTTGAAAATAACGAACATTTATTAAGTATATCCTTTCTTGATTTTTCTAAAGCTTTTGATGTTGTCAAGCATGGTATTATAATGTCTAAACATTTCCATTAGGGTATTAGAGGGGTTTTTAGATTGGTTTACCAGTTATCTTAAAAATAGAAAACAATGTGTTCAAACTAATAACTGTAAGTCGTTGGCAAGTAGTATGTGTGGTGTACCACAGGAATCCGTATCAGGATCCTTATTATTTGTTATTTACGTTAATGACTTACAATTAGTGATACTTTACACATTGTCTCTTTTTTCCCGAAGATACTACCATATTTTATTCAAATAATAGCATTGAGTTATTGTTTAATACAGGTCTCTTTCCAATTAAAGACCCGGTCCTCCAATTGAAGACCACCTCCAATTAAAGACTACTTTTCTGTGGTCCCATTTGAATTCCTATCTTTTAAGATTAGCTGTTCTCTCCAATTAATGACTCCTTCTATGAAGAGACCAAAGACCATGGTTTTGGTGGACCCAAGTGAAAACCTCCTCTCCATCTCCATTTAAAGACCACTATAAAACAAATAGGTTAATGCTATTTTTTCTTTAAAACAATTTGGTTATAGGGCTTAAAACATAAAATTATTACCGAATTCATATCTTTAGATGGTGTTTTGTGTGTGTTTGTGTAATATTTAGTAACGATAATATTAGTGATGTTGTTAGTAATTTTAATTGAACATTTCTTAAAACAAATACCGGAATTGATGTATGGATTTCAAAGAAATAGAAATCATTTATAAATAAAGAGCAGGAGGCAGTAAATGTACATCCATTCTAAATAATTTAGTGTATTATTTCTTATTTCCTACTGAAAATTGAGATAGGAACGGTTCTCTTATCATTGGTTGATTACCGGATAAACAAGATAAGTACCGAATTGTAACTGCATTTTCACTGCACATAAAACGGTTGCGTATTGATACAAAGCTGTGTAAGAACCCAGGTATAAATTCCAGTTGGGACCAGTTGGAAGAGACAGGGGGAGGGTTGGGGCGCTACCCGATGGGGACTGCAGTTTCCCTAAACTTAATCTGCCTACCATACACATATCCATCTTGGGGTTGAGAGCAAAATAATGTTATCTATCAGCAGACAGTTAACCTGTTACTAGAGAACCAGGAAGTATCTCGAATTGCACTCAATTCTGATTGGTCACTTCAGTTGAGTACTGTGTTTTTGAATTCATGATGGTGGAGTTAAGTCAGTTTATACATTCTTGGAAGGTAGTTTAGCAGTATTATCCACTATGGAGGTAAGAGTTTTGTTTTATTATTCAGTTAATGTGGGTTACTACTAGGGTATGGCATTAATAGGCATGATACAGTAGTGGGTAGTGGTAGTAAGAAAGACTTGGAGAGACCTAGCCTAGGCCAGGCCTGGCATATTTGTGCATAATGTATAGACATAGACATAGTCATAGGCACAGTTCACACTGTTCTCTCTGTATGCCAGCTATTTATCCTCAGTGAGGATATATATAGGCTAGGCTAGCGTAGCCTTAGGTATGGCCATAGGGCCTTTGTTGGCCTTGCTAAACTGCAGCCTTGCCTCATAGCCTGTTTAGTTATGAGAATGGTAATTGCTGTGTTCTCATAATCATTATAATATAGGCTATCAAATGCATGCTTTATTGAAATAAAGTTGGTGTTTAGGGGTAGGGCCTGGCCTACACCGGGGTGGGGTTAAAGGTTAGTCTAGCAATTATTATTTGCTGAAAGTTGATGTATGTAATCACCAATTATTAATTAATATAAATGGTGACTTTTATTTCAGAATGTCTTTGTCTGAAGCCTTACTGTGTCTGGCAGTTGATTGAACAAACAGAAAATTACCTGCTTTCGTCAAAGGTGAATATAATGTTTTCTTTACGTTTTAAGTTTACTGGTCCTAGGTTCTGATTAGCAACATGCTTAAAAATATGTACTGTAGTTACTATATGATGACGGTTATTAAATACAGGTCTCCCTCCAATCAAAGACCACTTTTGGGACCGGGATTTTGATGGTCTTTAACAGCTTCGGTCTCTAGTTAGAATAGTAAAAATAAGACAGTCAATGTGCGACCACAGAAAAGTGGTCTTTATTTAGAGGTAGTCTTTAATTGGAGCGGTCTTTCATTAGAGGGAGATAATCAAATTTAATGTGTACGTAATTGTAAGTAGGCCAAATGGAACAAAAGAGCCAACTGCACTCATTGAGAGCGTTAGCAAACGATATGCCCTAGTACGCAGCCAGTGTAAGATGCCCGCTGTCATTTGTATGTCCACCCACGTCCTGTACCATTTTCATGTCTGTTTTTCTACTTGCCAAGTAAATAGTGGGCATACGTCAGTACACAAATGAACGCGGGCATTCTACACAGCTATGACGTTTCTATAAACGGGAGTACACACTTTTGTTATATTTATACTCTTTGATTTGGCCTATAAGAGACATTGAAATTGTAACTGTTTTGAAAACTAAAAAAAAAAAAAAAAAAAAACAGGAATGGAAACTGATAATTCACTTTTGAAAAAAAAAAACCTCTAGTCTCTTACTTATCTTAGCTACTGTACATTATGCATATCATACTTATACATTAATTTCGAAGGGATACAACACATTTAAAATTTTATTTATTAAGGTACATTTAATACAATTTAATTCGTTTTCCTAGACATATATCACCTTAATTAGGATTATTTTTAAAATAACAAATTGAGCATAGGTATTTAAATTGACAAAAGGTCATTTTCCCCTGCCCCTTAATTTCTTATAATTGACCTGTATACTCTGATTTTCCATTCATTTTTATTTTTTCAAAAAAGGGTTTTAAAATGCCCAGCACAATGAAATGCATATGCTCTGTTTTACATTCTTGGCATGTTTTTTTCGTGTTTAAAAGCGCATAGAGGTTTCCATAATATGTGCTCTATATATAAGTTAGGCCCCATAAAAAATTATTAGTTTATCACCCGCTCCCACATCACTTTTGCGAAAAATTTGGTACAACAAAAACATATTTTTTAAATATAAATTTGATTCCATTCTTATGACTTTTTATATATGTGTCTCTAACCATTGATTTGCTTGTGATCATCGGTAAAATGGTAAAATGGGGGCAGGGTTTTAGCAAAAAAAAAAAAAAAACCCTCCCTCCCTCATCAGTTTTTACTCTTTGATAGGGTGATAAACTAATAATTTTTTATGGGGCCTTAGCCATTATTATTCTTATTTCAGATTTTGTTATTGTTATATCTTTCAGCAAGTGTAAAACTCCGAAAAAAGTTAGTACAAGCCTACGTGATTCAATATTTCAAGCTTGATTTGTTCACCTGCAGAGTTCATACTATCTGATCTTTTAGCAAGAATTTTAATTTAGCTTGCTACCATCGGACATGAAAAAACATCATTGTGGCAGCTGCTTCAATATACAAAGAATGCTGGTTAATGCATGCTAACACACAAGGTTCTTGAGATTATTGTTTTATATACAGTAATAAACTCTAGTGATGCTTTAATATAATAGGCCTATATTACGGACAAAAATGCTGATTTATACAGGACTGTAAAGCGAAGGACTCTAGAATAAGCTTGAATTTGAGGTACAGTATGTGTAGCAGAAGACTTAAACCAGTTTTCAATTAAAGAAATTATGGTTTGTATATCTTAAACTCAGTGTTTTTTGTAAGTCTACAGGAGTTGATTAAAGCCATTGTTATTTTACAAAAAGGATCTGGCACCACTTGTAGACCAGTTGGAACTTGGACCAATTGAAAACCATTTGGAACTTGGATCAATTGAAGACCAGTTGGAATTGGGACCAGTTGGAATTGACACCAGTTGAAGACCAGTTGAATTGTCCAAAAACACAACACTCAACTGGTTCCAGTTCCAACTGGAATTTAAAACCAGTTGGAACTGGGACCAGTTGGAACTGGGACCAGTTGGAACTGGGACCAGTTGGATTTTCCAAAAACACAACACCCAACTGGTTCCAGTTCCAACTGGTCCAACTGGAATTTGGGACCAGTTGGAACTGGGACCAGTTGAATTGTCCAAAAACACAACCGGCAACTGGTTCCAGTTCCAACTGGTTAAAACTGGAATTTAAAACCAGTTGGAGTTGGGACCAGTTGAATTGTCCAAAAACACATTCCGTAACTCGTTCCAGTTCCAATTGGTCTAACTGGAATTTTTACCTGGGAAATTAAAATTACATAGAATTCATTACAATTTAATAAGACAGAAATGTCTTCAAAAATTAAAAGCTTTAACAACAATATGTTCACCTGGCTACCAAGATACAAATAAACAAGCAATGAGTCCTCCTATCCAAATAAAAACTCATGTTGTAACCACTCTTTTGTCTACCTTCCCACACCCGCTTCGTATCTCATTAACTGCTCTCGAGTTTTTTTCTCAAATATGTTTTTTATGTCTTAGAAAAATCAGTTGTACAAAATTTCATAATTCTTTTTCTCCTGAGCCTGGGTTTAACAGAAGACAATATTTTGTTATGTTGGGAATAGAAGTTTAATATTTGTTTTACTTATTGCTCCTAATTATAATTTATAACATCGTAAAACTATAACTGGTATGGTGGAACACCGACATTTCTAATCATTACTGAAGAGGCCTAAATTATTGACATGAGAAGTATTTTACAAAGTCTAATATGCCTAGCCTATTGGGTAAGTTGAACGGAGGTCAAATTAGGCTACTATTTATGTTGCAGCTAAAAAGTACCTCATGAAGAACGGTTCTTTTGACGAAGAACGATTCTCCGGCGTTCTGGGCACGTTTGACTCCGTGCCAAAGAACCGTTCTTTATGAACGGTAAAAAGGACGGATTTTTTGTGTCGGCCCTGTTTCTACTGCCACAAAGTACGGTTCTTCCTCGTCAGTAGAAACATGCCCTTTGACTCCCATGGATAGTCTTGGCAGGAAACTGAAAATGTTCCCGCTTTATAAATAAAAACTACTAAATAGTGATTTTAGTGAAGATGTGTAGGCATATACATGCTCCATATTGAATACGTATTGTGTTAGTAGGACATATAAATTTAAATATATCATATGGGTTTGGTAGACCCAACTAAATATTTCCCGTAAAATAAAAAATACATTACATTTATATAGTCACGAAGTTTTTTTTTTTTTTTTTTTTTTAAATAATGATTGTACTGAATATACACATCAAAGGAATACGCAACGTAAGATGATGCTTTGTGTATACTGTGCTCTATTGAATAGGCCTATACTTTTAGTAGGACGATATTGTCCGTAATATTGTAATGGCGATTTAGGTATCAGAAGTTGATGTGTGTATTCTCAGAAATGGTTTATTAAGAATCAATACAGCATACAGTAACTATAAATGCGTAAAAACATTAACTTCCTTGCGGAGGTAATAAAAATGATTAAAATTTTAGTTAGTTTAGAAATGTAGTGAAAATGGATTTTTAGTTATAAATTATATAAAAAAATACATACCGAATGTGATTTCGATTGAACTCAAAGCTATAAATACCAGGATGCACGTCCTCATAAAGCCGACGTTCCTCTCCATCTGTAAAAGTAAATACATTTTTTCCAAAGAAATGGTGTGTCTACTACATGTTTATGTTATTCATAATAAAAATGTATCTGCTATTGAATTGCAACCTCTTACTTCCTTTATGGCTGTTCTGACAATAAAAGTAAGGAGCGCACTTCAGGCACACTTTGTACAATGACAATATAGTTAATAATCAAACTACAGAGGCTTTCGATATCTAAAAGTATCAGTTACCCCATGCGCACAGGGTATTGTTTATTTGGTTTGACATAACTTAACGGTCACGAATGAATAAGCTAAACATACAATGAAATACATCGAAAGAAACGGGAAACTATAAAGCAGTAATGTGGGATATTATATTGAACCACATTGTAATATTTATAGTTTGTCTCATGACTAAAAACAACTCCAATCCCTTAAGCTTATATTTATTAAAGAGGGTCCTTGGATATCAGCCTACCTGCTAGGATACGCAGGAAGGGTTACCTTTTATAAATATCTTAAAAGCATTCAAATGGAAAAATAAATAACTACCATAAAAACTCGAAGTGCCAAGCTTGGGATTCTTTTAGAGAATATAGGCTTCTTTTTGAGGTTACTTTTGCAAAGTAAATAGGTGACTTCTTTTCAAAATGAATGCTGTAAATTTGGAAATTACTATAAAACAATGTAACAGCTATCTTGAAGTGTTAACTTGTGTTAAATCATGATCACCATAACTACTGTATAAATCAGGCGTGTTTTTAATTTATTTTGTTACTTTGATTCATGTACAGTGTATGTACTGTACTATCTCAGAAAAATAAACCCCATGTTATCTTGAAAAGAAGCCTATTGGCCTTTTTTGGGGGTGGGGGTGGGGGATGGGGGAGGTGAGGCTTCAATTCGAAGTTGGCTTCTTCTCGAGATTAAGCCCATTGGGCTTCTATATGAGGCTTTACGGTGTATAATATATCCTGTATGTTAAAAACTGAAAAGCTGAATATATTTCAGTAATTTTATACAACATTTCTTAGCTTTCTAATGTTATTGCATTGTATTCTGAAACGTTAAAGTTAAAAAAAAATCATGCTCAATAGAGCCCACATGACAAACCAATCACAAACAATGTGTTGAGCTTACATCTGTGCTACGTTTTCAATGCAAGTAAAATCATTTTTGAAAATGGGCTGATATCTTCGTTAGCCAAGGTAAATCGAGGAGGTGATGCTGATATAGTGTTATAAACGAGTACGGACTTGTTATTAAAGCTGGAGGGGCAGATGTATCTACACCACCGTAGCCCCAAAATGGTTAAGTGTGAGAGCATAATGCTACACGATGTATTTTATTGTGTCCTTTATTCCAACACTGTATTTACCTTTCTGTGATCATTTATATATAACTTAATAGTGTTAACGGCTATCTTGATTTATATTATATGCAACTATTTGTTTCTAGCCGTACCCTGTGTAATGGATTGTGTCTGGTGGTATTGCAATATGTTCAACAATGAATCCTTCGTGGTCTAATGGTTATGACACTCTCCTTGACAGCGAGAGGTCGCAGGTTCGAGCACCGCCAGAGGCATTTTATGACACAGTTTCCTTATTCATTTATTTACAGGATGTATTATTGTGTCCGTTATTCGAACACTGTATTTACCTTTCTTTTATGATTTATAGATAATATTAACAGTGTTAACGGCTGTCCTGATTTATATATATATATATATATATATATATATGTATATGTATATATACATATATAAGTATATATATATATGATTATATATAAATATTAAATATAAGTTATATATAATATATATATATATATATATATTACAATTGAAGAAAAAGTACATCTAGATAGCTAGAAATTATATATATATAATTATACATATATAATATCAAAACAAGATATATATATATATAATTTGTATATATATATATATATATATATTTATTTATTTATTTATTATTTATTTATTATCCCAGCCAACAGCAAACTAAAATTCGCCACTTACAGGAGGGAACACAAACATCAAAAGGATACATAAATATA